ATCTAAAAAGAATAATTGTTCATCAAAACTCCTGTGCACGCGAGTGCGTCACTCTTTATTCTTTTGTAAGAGCCAGGACTTGAACTGAGAACATCCCATTAGTATCCAGGCCCCCGTTATTTGGTGTGTTTTTTGTAAGTTCTCTACAGACAAGTTTCTTTAATACATTAGATAATCGGCGAGCTTGGATACTAGGGTCTGAGTGGTGTCGAAGGGTACCTCAGACAAAAAGAAAGAGGAGAAAAGATGGGCATGGAAAATCATGGAAAATCACGTATCTAAACTATAGCCATGCAGTTGATGGGGTCGAACTAAATCCTGAGAAAAAAACAAACAAACAAACAAACAAACAAGCTTCATCATCTTCATAATCACATACCGTTTATTTGGAAAGAAGACTCGGGTTATATGGTCATAATCAGAGGACACACCCAGCAGTGCTGTAAGCCACGACTAGGACACTTGTTAAGGTAAAACTCACTAAAGACGATAATTGACATAGAAGGGTGAACATTTTACGATTAAATTCCATATTGTTGGGGTTTTCCTGCACATCGTTGCCTTTGAAAACGGTTTGGCTTCAAATGTATCGGTGGAGATACTTTTCTAAAATGTCTTCCCTGCCAAAAAAAATGTGGGAAAAAAGTTCCGGCCGAACGAGACTATACTAAAACTCGAATATGTTTTAAAAATCAATGACGTAAAAAACTCAAAAAAGAAAAAGAACAAAAGAAGACCCATCTGAAAAGATTTTTGGAAAAGCCTTACTTGTCTTTTAGCTATTCCAAAGTCTGAATCATTCTGAATCTAGTCTGAGCATTTGAATGAACTTTCTTTTTTTTCGTTTGGTTTCAAAGAACCAAAATGTATCCCATGGCTTTTATGTGTTTATCGCCATTATCCGATGAAAGTGAATTAGTAGCCTCATTACCACACGTGTTGAAGTCATCAAATTGCCCCCCTGTACCAAACCCAATCCTGGAGTCGCAAGAGTTGCAGTTATCCTGGTTGTTAGTAGTGATGCCGATTCTTGCTTTAGAGTGACGAGACTCACTACACATAACATTAAACCCTTCCCTGTTACAGTTTTTCTGTAGGGAGGCCTCTGAGGCAACAAGCTTCTTCCACGTGTCACGACCCAATGAGGTGCTTCGGTGTTTCCCGTCAGCGATCAGTGAGTGGAGAGAGCTGGCCTCCTTGTTGAGGACAATGAACCTGATCTGTCCGCCAATCTTCATACCGAGGCAGATCTTAGAGATGGGTGTGGTCCAGTAGGTCGGTAACTTGGTCTCTCGCAAGTCGAATCCAGTCTCTCCTCCAGCAATGTTGTATTCAGTCTTATTGGTCCAGTAACTGGAATTATAGTGAAAGGTCGTCTAGGAGAATAATGTTAAACAATTCCTTGTGGGTTTTAAATTATCCACCGCATTGTCCTGCTTTTAAAATTTATTTTCCTAAAATAGCTGTTTGTTCTTCTCTGGAATTCACCTTAAATCTGCTTTCAGAGAGCAAGATTAGGCAATGAAAGGAAGCTGGTGATCATGAAATATTTATGACTTGGTGACGTAATATAAGGCATCATTCATGCAGAGTTACTGTTCTGTTTAGTTAATTGGAGCCAATTAAGTTAGGAAACGGCTATTACTTATCATCTTGGAGGTGCTGGAGGATTTTGGTTGAGTCACAAATATAATCGACCAGATCCCCTTTAGGCTCCCAAGTATTCTACGGAATCTCCTAACTGGCAGTCAATTTTCTATAGCCCCCCTCAATACATTTGCGACGAGGGATCCCCCCACCGTTCCTCATGATAACCATGTGACTCCCCACCGAAAATCTACATATTCTCCACCTTAGTAATGTGTGATGACTGGTTCGGAGATATGAACCGGGCGCCGAAGTCGCCCTCCCTGTCAATCAGTCAGTCAGTGCCAGTGTGACAAAGTGGACTATCATGACACACAAGCAAGAAAAAAGTTGATTAAGCATGGTACCTTGTTACCATCAATCTTCATAACTGGCGTCCATCCTCCATCTCCACATCCAAAATCTCCCACCTGACAGAGAACTGTGGTTGGTCCTGAGCTCAGATGAAGGGAAACCAGTTTAGTCCCGTTGAATCTGTTAAAATGGAGTCGGAGAAGGTAAGGAAGTCATTTGTTCTCTTCATCCAATGAATTTAGAACATTTAAAAGTTTTCATTGAAATACTACTAGTATTTGTGGATCCAATGTGATTTTAACCGCCTGCATGGTCACATTTGCGTCTCCAGCGAGTATGAGTAATTGGACTATATGCTGTCCAATTTGGAAATAATTTGGATGAAAATGGACGAGGCCGTATACCGAGCGGAATTTTTTTAATCCAATTATTTCCAAAATTGAACAAGCATGTAGTCCTCTTATTTCTTAATTTTATAGCTAGTCGGTTGTAATTGTTCATTGCTCAATCAAGCTATTATTTTTGTAATTGTTTTTAAAACTGCCCAATCAAGAATGAAATGAATTTGGATAGTTTCAGATACACAAATTAATCCTTAATTGGTCAATTTAAAAAATTTAAAGAATAATAGCTGTGCCGACAAATCTGGATTAACTACCAACAATACAATTGTGGGAAAAATATGTTTAAAAAGAGCAAGCAGTTCATAGCACTTACTTGTGCGCATCATGCACTTCCTTGCATGATTTTACAGCTAAAAGACAAAAACGACTTTTTATCGTGAGAAACGGAAAAGAAGTGTAAAGTATGGTTATATGGTAACAGCCTTGCAATGAATTGACTTCGCTTGATCGAGAGGAGCCAGAATTTATTTGGAAGATTTTGTTCCTCCGAGAAATATCCTCGATGCCTCCTAAAATTTCATTCGGAGGGAATCTCGATCAATCGAGTCTGGATTCCAGCTCAAAGTTGGGTTTGTGTTCGGGCTGGACCTCGAGTTGGTGGCTCAAGATATTTTTCTAGTAGATAATTAGATTTGATTATTTTAATTCAAAGCTGCAGCTTAAGACTATTTCGGATTCGGAGATGTAGGCAAGGCTTTTCAGTTGCTCCAAAATGAAACTGTTCTGCTTTCTTTTGGGAACTCTTACTCAAGCACGTCATTGGTATTTGGAGGGAGCCTGGTAGCATTATTTTTTGTAAATAATCATTCTGCGGGGTTGGGGGTTGTCACTTGCATCCCGATCTGTACCCTCAGAGTTGTGGACTTCTTTTGATCAATGGTTTTGTATGATAATAAAAAAATGTTAATCTCAATGTAATCATAACAGATTAAAAGAGTATTCATACCTTTCTCGCAATATTTTCCAATGAAGTCGTTTGTACATACACATTTAAACGAGTAGTCTATATAGCTTGTCACACAACTACCACCGTTAATGCATGGAGAGGAAAAACAAGGCAACTGGCGAAAGAAGGAGAAAGAATCGTGACACATTTTGTACTCATGGGTTAAATAGATATGAGACACTTCTCCACCTTTACGGCCAAAAAAAAGGTATCACTATTCATTACTGGAGAACTTGACTTCAAAGTAAGAAACTACACTGCATCATGATAGCGTGTATAGAAAAAAGTCGAGTCTATGTTGATATAAATAGCAATCCCCACCTTGATGGAAACGTGATGTGAAGTCCTATTTTCCCTGTATTCCTCAGGAATGGTATACTTCTGAGAGGAGAGCAACTCACACCAAATCTTTCCACCTTGTCTCTTTGCCACCGCCAAGTTTACAGACCGGCATAAAGGATTCCTCAGGCATAGAATGATGCATTCGTAGTCATCGAACGCCACGAACGTTCCAACCTTAGGGGCAGTGAGGTAAAAATATTCATCTATTGATAAAAGACTTTGTTTGAAAGTCTGGGATGAACCGTTGAACTTGTGTTCCAAACCTGTTGTTCCTGTAAGGAAAATGGAAAAGCCCTTGTAGCGAGCGGTATCCTGTACGTTGCGTGTAGAGTCGCCGAGTATATCCTTAGCTTCTTTGTAAATTTTCATGAATATCTGTTGTTTTACCGGCTTGGCAGCATTTGTAGGCAAAGATTTCGGTGACGAACTTCAGGCGATAAAGAAACTCTCTCTCTTTTTTTAATCACTTTGCTTTTTCCGCCAAAAAATGATTTTGAAATGATTGTGTGGTACCAAATATTATTAAAAATAGATTGACAGCCTACAAAACCAGTTGTGAATGAATTATCCTTCTCAAAAAGGAACTCAGAAAGTGAAAAGGAGAGGTATCTGCAATCAACAATTACACGAATCAATGTAACGTTCATTCATCTATCTCAGAATGCTCCAAACAATTTGTTCTTTGTATTAAAGATGTTGAGTTTTTTACTCTAGATAAACTTT